ATTGAGATATTGTTAGTGATAAAAAATAATATTGATTAATATTGTTATATCAAGTATTTGTCTAATTATCAATTACAGAAGAGATTTTTCTTTATTTTTCAAAAATAAAAATTTATTAATATATATTTAATAAAAATAAAGATTTTATTTCTCTTTATTTCATAAATGTAACGAATACATTTATTTTTATTTTATAAATATTAACATTTTATTTATATATTTCTTACGAAGATAACTTAACATTCATTACTGGTACTTATAACATCTCTATACTTTTTGTATCGATGATATTATAGTTTTTTAAGCTACTTAAAGAAAACAGAAGATTAGGTTTCCATTAAAAAAAATTCTTTATTATTTAATTTATCTTTATTTTTTAAAAAGAAAAATTCATTGATCTGAACCTTATAAATACAAAAAGGTTGATGCACTTTTATTTTTCAAATAATAAAAATTCTTTTACTTGTTAGTGTTTATTTTATAACTATAAAAATATTATTTATATTAATTCATTATTATAAATAACAACTAAGATAAACTAACATTTGTATTGGAAAAAGTAATTTTCCTGAAGCTTAAAATAAAAAATAAAGCAACTAATGAAATCAAATAGTTAAAAGTAAAAGCAAGATGTTCATAGAGTTTATCTATTTACCTAGAAAAAAGACGATGAAATTAATAACTAAAAATTTGGAATTGATAATAATCTATCGCGTGCGCATCAGTAAATGTTCCAGAAGTAAAACTGGAATAAAACATACAGTTTTATCAACAGTTTAATATTTTCAATAAAAACTGTAAAAATCACGATTGATCATGACAGGAATATTGATTTAATATAGTTAATCTATTAAATTACACTCAATTCATATAGATATTTTTCGGTATGAACGCATCTAGAACCCAAGAAGCAAACGTCCTAGATACACCTCAGGTGAAACATTACTGCACCCAAACGGATTCCAAAATTTAATCGCGTCTAGACGCAGTAAATGTTTTATCAGAACTAAGTCCAGACGCGTGAATTTTGCTTTTTATAGGTTACATGGGGACTTGGCTAAATCTCAATGATATTAATAAGTACTAACTGCTAAAATTAAATAAAAAAAAATATTGTCGAATTATTTTGAACATGATCATAATAGCCGACTATTCGTATGAGATTTCCTAATCGATCTTTAACCTAAATCTAGATCGATTTGTGTGCTTTATTGAAGTAATCAAATAGAGAAAAATTACTATAAATTAAGAAGTTAAAGAAAAATGATCGAAATCAAAATTGTTAAGATGTGTAACAAAAAAATCATTCAAAGAGTCTTGTTTTGGTGTATCATTTGTCTACAACTAAAACAATAGAAAGATTCATATGCTTACTCTTGTGAATGAAAAAATAATTTTTTTGGCTTTAAGTTGTATAAAATGAGATAACGTGGCACTAACCTATCCTCAGACTTTTGTAGCATTGCAACGAACATGTATGTTTCTGAGATGACGTTCATTTTTTTGTTTAGACGCAATTTTTCTCGTTAGCTGCCTATTTGCGTCCATTAGACTAACTTTATAACTGTAAGTCTATTTTTTTGCCAAAAAGTGATATATGCGAACGCGTTTCTGCAATTTAATGCATAGATCGATGTGCCCGTCGGAACACGTTTTATCTATGGTGTCAATTTGAATGAGTTTACTGAAAAAACCTGGCTTCATTTAACCATTGAATACGATCCTAATGCGTGAAATGATAAAGACGGGTGTCAACGCGTTTTGAGCGAGAATTTAAACGCGCATATATGCGTTTATTTATACAAACGTTGAAAATCTATTCTTGTTCTCTAAACGAGTTCAAGAAAAATGGTCGTGGATGTGTCTACCTGCTTTTCTACCATGCTCCAATACAGAAACGCGTTCGAGCACCGACATTTGCAACAAAAACGCATCTAGCTGCGTTTAAAATGCGTTTGGTGATTACATGGATCTATCTATAAAACAAAATCAAAATAAAAAATAATGACAGAAGAAAATATACGAATGGAGAAGAAAAGAGATAGATATACTCGAAAATAAGTAACAAAGATCAAGAAAAAGAAGAGAAGATGCAAGTATGTAAAAGTCATACCTCTAACGACTATTCCAAAATTCGATATCTTATCTGTTGAAATACAATTGATTTACTACAACTTTAATTACCCCGAATATTGTTCAAATTTTATCAGAATTTTGACAATAAAATTCCTTAAAAAAATGATATTCTCTTAAATTCTAATTAATTTCGAAAATTTGACAGTATTCTTCAAATTCATATAGTGAAATTCCTAGAAACGTTGTTTTGATTTTAACATTCTTCTTATTAACACTATCTCTAAAATTCTTTTTCCATCAATATGAATATATGAAGATAGAAAAACAATATTCTATGAAGAAAATAAAAGGAACTAATAAAAGACCCAAACAAATACTCAACAATTTCGCTGATACACAACATGTCGAACAGATAAATAGCAGAAAATAAAATTCTTCCTTTCTTTTAGATATTAATCTTCATTTTTATTTGATATCTAATTTATCTATTGTCACAATTAAGATAAATTACTGAATATTTTAATCGATATCTTAAGCATAAAATTCGAGACAGATATCAGTCGATGATAGATATAGTTAGAGGACTACAAATCATATTTATGTCATGTACAAAGAGCAAAGTTGAGGATAAAATCATGCTTTAATCTTTGATTTTATATTCAAATTCATGTTTAACTACGCAGAATAAAAACAAAATAATTTCGACTGAAAAATTTCAAATAATTCACATAAAATGATTTAAATAATTGGATAATTTATTCTTCTTAAAATACTTAATTTCATTAACAAAAAACAAAGTCGGCAACGAATATAATTGCAAAACGATCATCTTCAACACAAATGATTCCTACCTTTTTATATTCTAAACTTTTAATTTAGTATAATATAATGATTATCGAGAAAAAGAATGATATCTTATATAGGGCGTATATGCAAAAGGAAAACAAGGAAAAAACCCACCAAAAAATAGTGCTGTTTGGTATTATTTACATATGTACCAAATGTTTTTCTTCTGTTCTTTGATACAAATTCCAATACTATCATGACCAAAAAAGAAAATGCACAGACGAAGAACAATATAAAAAAAAAAGATATATCGCTTAGATAAAAAAATAGTAAAAGAACGAAAAATAAGTGTAAATGATTGGCATTATCATGTCTCTATTAAGAGATAGGAATGTGGCCTCTACAGAGTGTGCACTTTCTTCGTTTTTTTCCAGCAAAAATTATCTTTTTGATCCAAAAACCAAGTTTCAGAATAAAAAAAAATATTTTTTAATCTCTACTCATGTTTTTCTCTTCATCACATCTCTATAAAGCGTATGTACTAAATATTAATTTTGACAATCAGTTCTACTTAATTGTATTTTTCCAATAAGGATATCTATCGAATCCAATGAAAACTATTCTTGAGTCATAGATTATAGAATATATACAATAATGGCAGAAATTATTTATGTCATCTTGTTTTAATCATAACTGAACAATAAATTAATATTTTGAGAAGTGGAAAATATCAAAAGAATCTTCATGACTTCTATCATACATGCATTCTCCAAATATCACATCATTTGAGTTATACATGTTCGAAATATTGATACAGAAATTAAATATGATATATCACAAAATATAATTTGCGACACAGGAGAAATGGATTAAAGAAACATATTTTCATTTTTCTTCTTCAGCAAATGTAATTTATCCTATATAAATCGTCATTATAAACTTGACGTTGTTTTATTCTCAGGTTCTGAAAAGAAAATATTGTAATGAAACTGAATTGAATGAATTATTTCATTATTATAGCTAAGATACAAATAATGCCAAATTAAAGAAAAAAAATTTTTTTTAAAACTTTTTTGTACATGGTTGGATAGAGTTCGATGAGTTAAGTAAAAATATATTTATTTTTAGTGTTTTTTTTTCAAAGATTTTTAATAAAAAGATGCGAGTATTTTGCGATAATAGTGAACGGCCTAAAAGGCAATACAGTTTTTTATGTTTTTTCAATAGTAAAAAAATTATTCATTTTGTTGGAATTATAAAAATGACATTAAGATGCGCCCTAAAAGTCTGTATGCGGGAAAAACGTAAAAAATTGTTACTTTTTTACAAAGTTAGCTCATCGTATCTTTAATTTTTATATACCGTTGAAATCGTCAAACATGATCCTTCAAAAGTATAACTTTGCTCTTTCGAAGTATTGGTTTATTAGGAAAAAAAACCATTTGACCTTGGCTCTCGAGAGCTCAAAAACTAAACGCTATGAATAATACGAGATTTTCTTCGTCAGAACTCAGCCAGTTTTTGATAAAAATCGTACATTTGAAATAGCATCAAAAAGTAACTCGATCAAGATATTCATTAATACAAGATCATTTTTATTGCTCTGAATTTTTTCTAATTTGTCTACGAAAAACAAATAATGATAGTTTAATTATTTCATTTGTCTTCTATTGTTCATGCAATCATTTTGATTGAGCATTAAAATCTATTATAATTGGATGAAATGAAACTGATGTATCGCTATTTTAGTGTTCGACAACCTTTGTTAAATACATACTAGAAGAAGGAACGACGTATATATCATGTAGTTATATTATTAATCTTTCTCTTTATGTCTTTTGAAAAACTATACGAACTTCATTTAATAAATGTTATTGGTTTTTGTGCTTTTCAACTTGTTTATGTAAAATTCTACTTGCTGTTCTGTTGTCTTATGATACAAAATATGAAATAGATGTTTTTCGATTTTTCTTGTCAACACATAATAATCTTTTGAAAAAAAAAGACCAATAATGTGCGTTGAATTTGTAGAAGTAACTTATATTTGCTTTTCATGCAAATAAAAACATATGCAAATATAGTGTGTATAGTATTTTTTTTTTAATAGACTGAGAATATTAATAATTTATTATCACAATATGTCATCAACTTCACCTTCTTTACGAAATATTCAACGTCAACATAGAGAACAAAATTCTTCAAGTGGAAAATTTCATATTTTCTTGTGTTTTACTGCTGCTATATTATTATTATTTGGTATTTTTGAGGCATATAAAACTTTTGGTTTTATCACTCGTCAATGCTAAGTTAAACCCATTGATTTAGTAGAGGACAATGATGCTTTTTATCCACGTTGGTTAGTTATGGTAATGTATAAAAATCAAACAAAAGACGGTATTTTACTTTCCACAACTGGTCTGGGAATAGAAAGTTTGGCATAGAAGGTAGCACAGAAATATAAGGTAATATTCGACCTTTTACATTCAAAAAATAATAAAATCTTTTTATAATACTATAGCCAGTAAATTAAAGTGTACTACAACATTTTAACGAGACACTTATTTTCCACCCAAAATCTTCATTTTTTTTTTCGTATTTTATTGTTTATCTTGGATATGTAGATTTAGATGCCTTCTATCTAATAAATATATTTTAAGAGGACGAAATCACCTTTTTTGTATGTAAAAAAAACTCAATTTATGCTAACAAAAGTTAAAAATTATAACTTTCTTCATGTTTTTTTCAAAATCAAATTTTCAAAATGAAACACATCAGAATTTCTATTAAAAACGTAGTGGGAATATTTGTGAAGTCGGGAGAAGAGGAAAGGACTTCAGGTCATTTTTTGACCTTTGCACTCATAAGATCCTCGAGAAGAAAGTATTTGCAGATTTCGTGTCTGTGACAATTTCACACTTTACTCATCGAGATCTTCCTACTCTGAAAGTTTCAAAAATTTTCTCCGTACCATTCTTGAGCAACTCTGAAAAGAGGAAGAAGATTCTTCTTAAGTTTATTATTTATTAAAACGATTTTTGATGGATCTTGACTAAATTGCCACAATATAGACAATCCTGACTGAAGAAATCCAACTGAAAAATGAATCTTTTAACTTTTCTTTTCCTTGTTTCTTGTTAAAGTAACTCTCTGATCGCGACAACTGACTATACATATTTCCTACTTTGTTTATGGAGAATTGATTTGGAAAATATTTAGATATACTGCAGTATTATCAATGTCTAATATTGAACTAGAAAATCAATAATAAATTTTACTTTAGTTTTTGCAAAATAAAATAAAGATGACATGTTACTTTTACTTTAGATAAATCAAACATATCCATGTTATCGTTCTCGGATTCAAGACTCATTTCATCAAAGGAGTTGCCAATGGAATAAACCATCGAAATTGAAAGCCTTTGGGTTTTTATTTGGTGGAATATCATTATTTTTCATAGGCACGCTATATATGATGCTGAGACGATGTCGTGAAGTAAAATCTGAAATTACGAGACAACAGCAACAACAAGAAGAAATACTATTAAGAAATGACGAACGACAGCAGCCAATAGCACCTCCGGAAAGTCCACCTCCTCCCTATGAAAAAGTAGTACAACCATCTACGGAAAGATAAACAACAACCTAGCCTATACATGGTGGCAATCATACTATTTTATCGTTGTTATCCT